GTTTTAGAAAAGAAAGTTAAGGTACTGAACTCTTCGAATGGCAACCCGTCAGATGACCAGAGTACTTTGACTTTCCCACTGTGAGAAACTTCAGTATCAACAAGGTCTTGGAGACCTAGGTAACCAGCCTTGATTTTGAACCAGACTTAGCATCCCATCTCCAGGCATCCAACTCAGTTTTTTTTTTTATATATCAACTTAAACTCGCCTTTTCTTGCTGTATTTTTTATATTTCTTGTGACTACGCAAATGATTTCATCAGACTTACCAATGTTACACATCTGTAGAGCTGTAAGATTTATAGGTAGCTTATCAAGTGCTCTTAGTAAGGTTAAAAGAAAATCGTCAACTGATCTGTCATCCTTGGCCTCATAGGTTGTTCTGTTTCCATTACCGTGGCTAATGCCTTACAAGGAGACGCTCCACCATATGGTTCATGACCTTCACTACCTTCTAAACTCTCCACGTGCTCACATTTCTTTTGGGCAGTGACAGTTTCCCACTTAGGTTTTTGTTTCTCATTATGACTGGCATGACTACGTGCATCAGTCTCAACATCCTTTTCATCTTTCACTGCATCAACATTTTCCAAAACCATATCTTTAGCAGAAGCATGCTTCAGCACCTTTGACTCATTTAGCCTTTTCTAATATTAATCTCCAAATCATGCCAATTTCTTTTCTTTATATCTTCCTTAGGCAAATTAAATTTTCTTATATAATTGCCTTTAAATTGTTAGAGAAAAATACATAAGAGAAAAAAAATAATAGAAAAGAATTTTGGCTTTGAGACATAAAGAACATTTTCTTAAAGACAATTATACCTTTAGGATACAACAAAGCCTCAAACTCTCTAATCAAAAATAGTAAAAATGATCATACTGAAAGATTTATTTATAATGAATGAACAAACATAAAATTATATTCAGATGGTTATGACCTTCTGTATAATCATTACCTTTATGAATAATAATTCATTTATATTCAAATAGTTGTGACCATTTATCATATGATATTTATTTCTGTTCAAACATAATTATTTAAAATATGAATAAAATTAATACAAAAATTAATTTTATTCATCAATAATTAAAATTTTCTATTCAATGTGAAATGTATCATATTCTAAACTACCAACGTTATTCCTTTCATCTATGTCTGGTTATCTCCATATGTTTAGAGTTTCCAGAAACTGAACCCTTTATTTTCTACGATAAACAATCCTTTTGAATTTGATTAATATGTAAATGTTACATATTATAATGATTTATCATTCAAAAACAAAAGAATAAATAAATAAATAACAAAAATAGTCAAGAATGATTCGGTTCTTTTTATTTGTTCAATATGAAATCATGGATTTGTATGCAAAATTATTATTGACCAATATTTTCCAGGCCTGAAAATTTTGCAACAATCATGTTCCATTTGGACGGCCTCTCGGATGTCAAAATGAATAGTTTCAATGTGATTCGATGAAAATCTTTATTATTATTCATTCAAATGAAGCATTATTTTATGATGGTTTAATTGGTACAGGTCAACTATTTTCAACATTTGGTCTTGTAAAATTATAGTAGGGCATTCAGTTACCCCCTAAAGGTTTCCAAATTTCAAGTTTCAACCTATCAATTACCAGATAAGCAAGCAAATTAATCAGTGAATCTTCTATTTCTATAGTTTCTGGTTTCAGAAAAGCGTCGTCAAAAAATGATTAATATAACAGGGCTTTAAAGTTTAAACTTCACCCCCCCCCAAAAAAAAAAAAAAAAACTTGGTCAAAGTTTTAAGTGAGAGTTCTTAAATATTCAATTTTAATAAATGCTACTTGCTTTTTCTACTGTGTAGAGTTTAAGGTAGTGTATAATTTGAACTTTTATTCTAAAATCTTGTTATTGTTCATAATTTTTGGATAAAAGTAATGATCGGTGAAAATTTGTCCATTAATTTGTAAATAATATATATAATTCCTATAACTTTTATAACAAATTCAAATACAAATTTATTCTTTTAATTTTATTTTTCAAAACAATTAAAAATAATAAAAATGATTTAAAATATGCTAAAAAAAAAAAAAGAAAATGCATAAGCAAAAGGATAAAAATGAAAATAGCCAAATAGGGATAGCACATAAAGACCTCCACTTAAAGACGGCAAAGGCTCGAGTAAAGACTAGTGACTAGTTTATATTCGTTTTAACTTTGATCATATTATTATTTTTTATACTCGATGCCAACTTGATATAATATATATATATATATAATCTGTATTAGGTTTACCTTGACCAAGAATCAATTCAATAATATAACATTAATAATTATAATTTTGAATATAAATTATATCTTAATTATTAACATAAATTATTAATATAACAAATAAAAATAAAATTAAATAATATATATTCTTATATATATACCTTGAGACGAGGCAGAATAAAGTATCTTAAACCTGGTTTCGACTCGATTTTGATCTTCAAAAAAAAAATATCATCCTACTTCGATCCGATTTTTATTTTAAAAATTGTCCCTATTATATTGATGGATTAAAACCAATCAAATATGTGTTATTTTGACATCTCAACCTCCAATGACTTCATTTTTTACAAAATTTATTTTATTAAAAAAAGAAAAAATAATAAAATAAAACAAAGGAAAGGAAAGGAAAGGGCTGAAAAAAAAAGAAAAAAAAAACTAAATGGGATGCCACATGAACACTTCTACTGCCAATTTAGTTCTCCAAACATAGATAAAAAAAAATAGATAATTAAAAACAAAAAAAAGCCAAAACTTAAAAAAACAACCCAAAAAAAAAAAAAAAACCAAATTAATAGGGGTGCCTAATGAATACATCCATTTAAGGATGACAACTTGTCATGACATGTTTTTATTCACCCTGACTTTGATTTATCTTTTTAATAATTCAATCCAACTAAAAGGATTTATAAAAAAAATTGTACCTTCAACCCAATTTAAATAAAACTTGAATACACATCTATGAGTCAAATACATTAACACACATAATTTTATTTCATTTCAATAAACTATAACATAGAATACCATATCCAAATCCGAATACATGGATTAAGTAAAGAGCATACAAATAAAATTATTATATTACCAAACACACCGAAATGAGCTACCATTTCAAATAATTACATACCAATAGTAGCCCAAAACACGTATAGCTTGTCACCAATTTGCTCCAATTTTTGATAATAAGCAAACCTCCAAGACCTGATGAAAAACAAGGGAGCCACTACTCCCCAAAACCCCATCACAAATCCAAGCACTATGCTTACATAAAGCCAATTCAACTTAGACCTTTTCTTTCCTCCACTGCTACCTCCATTTGTGACATCAGGTGTTTCACCATTTCTGCTACAAGTTTTAGTGACAGGAGGTCCGCAAAGATGATTGCCAACGTAAGAAAACTTGTCAAAGCTTTGGAGCTGGGTGCTTAATGGGATTTGTCCTGTCAAGTTGTTGTAGGACAAGTTGAAGTGATTTAAGAAATTCAAATTGGAGAAACTTGAAGGGATTTCACCATGGAATCGGTTCATGGACAAGTCAAGAGATTCCAAAACCTCCATACTGCCAATGTTCTCTGGTATTTTTCCTGTTAGAAAATTCCCCGACAAATTTAATGACCGCAGCCCCATAAGACTACCAAGTTCTTTGGGGATCTCTCCTGTGAGACTGTTAACTGAAAGGTCTATGATGGTAACAAGTCCTAGTGTGTTACTGTATGCATCTTCTCTTCCTTTCATCACCAATAATGCAGCCAAAGGAATCAAGTTAATACGGTCGAGTTCCCAGGCGAAGTTACCCACATATTGGTAGAGGGTTTTTGTGGCCATGGCACTTAGGTTACTAAAACATTTTGGAATAACTCCTGAAATGTTGTTATAACCAAGATCCAAAACTTGAAGAGAATTAATAGCACAAATTTGATCAGGAATATAGGCTTGAAAGTTATTTGAACGAAGGTTTAGAACCACAAGGTTTAAAAGCTTGTCTCCAATCCATGCTGAAATACTTCCCGTCAATTGATTTTCACTAAGATCAAGAATAATCACCTCAACCAAATGCTGCAATGTGGATGGTACTTCTCCAAACAGGTTATCGTTTCGAAGGTTTAATGACCTAATGCTACGCATAGATCCCAAAGATCTAGGAATTTTCCCAGTTAGATTGTAGTTTCCTAAATTTAAGACTTGCAACATTTGCCAATTTTCCCAACAATTTGGAATTTCACCTGACAGAAGATTTGATTCAATGTCAAGAATGGTCAAAGCTTCCAGTTTAGTTGAGGAATTACAAAGAAAATTGGAAAGTGATCCTGAAAATAGGTTCTTAGACAAAAATAAAAACCTCAAATATGAGATTGGCAGTGGCAATGGACCTATGAATAGGTTGGAACTCAAGTCAACCGTCCTCTTCATCGGTAAATATGAAATCTCTCCAATTAGTTGGTTATGGGAAAGGTTTAGATATTCCAACTGAGTCGAAATGTTCCAAAACCAAGTGGGAATGACGATTGAAATTTCAGCATGGGAGATATCCAAACGAGACAAGTTTTTTTGGAATTGTAGCCACTGAGGAAATTGCGGACCAAGATGCCAGTTACGCAATTCAATACTTTCACAGTGGAAAGGAGGAATCCAACTTGGATTTGGTTTAAACGTTAACATGTTGTTAGATGCCCTAAAAAATCTCAACCTCGTGAGATTAGAAAAGTGCATTTCTGATATATGTCCTTCCAACATATTGTTGCAAACGTCTAAATGTTCCAAATTCCCAAGTTGTCCTAAACTTTGAGGAAGAGTTGCATTCAATCGATTGTTTAAAACATCAAGAAATTTCAATGATGACAACTTCCCTATTGAGAATGGAATGGGACCAGAAATGAAGTTTCCAGAAAGGGAAAGGTATGCCAAATTTTTAAATTGGCCGAGTTTATCAGGTAAATGGCCAGAAAGTTTGTTAAATCCCATGTTTAATGACTCTAATCGATCCAAACTACATCTAGACAAACTTTCTATGATTTCTGATACCTCATGAACAATTCCATTATTTGACAAATCCAACTCCCTCAGATTGCAAAGACTTTCCAAATATTTTGGTACTATAATTTCAAGCAAGTTACCTGAAAGATCAAGATGAGTAAGAGAGCTCAAGTTTCCAATGGCACTTGAAAAATTACCTTGCAGACCGACGCTACGAAGACCAAGAAATTGAAGCTGGTTTAAATTAGACAGCCAGTTGAGTGTCGATGATGAAGAGGAATGAATTCCAACTAAGATCAAGAAATTTGAGAGAAGACATGTTTTGAAAACCATTGGGAATCACACCTTCAACTCCATTAAGGGTAAGAATCAATGGACACAAGACTACGAAAGACTGAATATCCATGTAGGCACCAAAGACAACTTGTTGGCAGACAGATCGAGAACAGCAAGAGATGTGTAATTAACACTGATTGGAGATGGATCATTATATAGATAGCATCCTGACAAGTGTAACTCTGCCAATAAAGGAAGTTTATTTGTTATCTGCAGCCAATCAGTTGCTTTACCAAGATCTGCATGACTCAAATCAAGATACTGCAGAGACGACAGACCAGAAACCCATTGAAGAGTTTTATCTTCAAATAGGGAATTGTGTCCAAGATCAAGATAATGCAGTTTTGAGAGATTTCCAAGATTATGGGGAATTGCTCCTTGGAAATTTGCCCAAGAGAGGTTAAGATATATCAAACTCTTCATGGAACCAATGAATTCGGGAATTGCCAAGCCTCCAAAGTCGTTGTTGCTTAATTCTAGGAAACTGAGATGTTTCTGTTGGGATTTGCCTTGAATCTCAGAATCCCACATCAAAAGTTAAGTGAGTTTGAGTTTGTCTTGTATCCCACATCGGGAGTTTAGTAAAGGTATAAAGGGTTTCACCCTTTATAAATAAGATGTTTTGGTTTTAGTTTAGTAACTCCAGAGAGTTAGACACCAAGAGAATAGCTAAGTGAGTAGGCTATTAAAAGGGTGTAATTGGGTTTTGGGTTAAGTTTTGAGTAAGGAGTTTTAGGAGACTTTTCTCATTCTAAAAGTCTCACAATTGTAAAGATTTATTTGATAGTGGATTAGGTTTGGAGTAGGTCATTTTGAGTTGGGCCGAACCAAATATATTTGTGTGTTCTTATTCTTGATTTGAGCTTGTTATTTTGTGTGTGTGGTTGCTGCGCGTGGGATGCCAGTTTGAAGCTTGGAAGGGTCAATGAAAATTGAGGCTACAGCCCATCGCAAGTCCTTTTTCTTTTCAACTAAAGGACAGACCAGACAGAGCTTAGCCCCTCTCTTTTACTTTTATTGATTCTATCTCCGATCCCGATCCTTAGCTTAGTACAGTCCAGCCAGCCTGATAGTAAGTCATTCGGAAAGATAGGGAAGCGTGTTGTAAGACAATCAATCAATTCCTCACCTCAAGTGCGGTGCGTTTCAATATGCATCCAAACCTAAGGCCTATGTCCTATAGTTAGTATGTTTCGATCTAGAGTTATCATTCTTCGCTCAATGGTTTCGAAAGGAAAGCAAGTTCTGAAGCCAACGAGTTACATAAAAGGAACGACTGACTAAGAGTAAGAGAGGGAAGATCATTTGTGTGTTCTTATTCTTGATTTGAGCTTGTTATTTTGTGTGTGTGGTTGCTGCGCGTGGGTATTGTGGTATTTCCCAACAAGTGGTATTAGAACGAGGTTCGAGGTTCGTGGGTCCAAGAGATCGTGAAGCAGTGTTTGAAGATGTCTGAAGAAGGTATGTCTGGTATGTCTATGCCTAAGTTTGAGATTCCGTTATTTGATGGAAAGAGTAATTTTATGTTATGGCAAAGTACGATTCAAGATCTGTTAGTACAACAAGGGTTGGATCAAGCATTAGAGAGTAGTAAGCCTTAGGGAATGTCTGATGCTAATTGGAATAGGATTCAGAAGAAGGCTGTTAGTACTATTAGATTGGCGTTAGCTTTAGAAGTAAAGTACAGTGTGTTGACTGAGAGTACTCCAAAGAGTTTGTGGGATAAGCTTGAAGGTATTTATGCTTCGAAGTCGTTGACTAATAGATTATGTTTGAAGATGGATCTGTATTCTCTGAAGATAGAAGAAGGTATGAGTCTTCATAATCACTTGAATGAGTTTAATAAATTGGTTTCTCAATTGCTAGCGATTTCTGTTGATGAGTTAAAAGATGAAGAGAAGGCTTTAATTTTGCTGTCATCTTTACCCAAGTCTTATAGGCCTTTAGTTCAGACTGTGTTGGTAAGCAGGTCTACTTTGAAGTTGGATAATGTGACTGCCCTGTTGCGTGAGAATGAAAGGTTTATGGGGGCTTAGAACTCATCACCTGAGGGGAGTACACTGGCTGTAGAGGGTTTTGATCAAGGGAGGACTCAAAAGAGGATTGATGGATCGAGATGGAGATCTAAGTCAAGAGACAGAGATTACAGTGATGTAGAATGTTATTATTGTGGTGAGAAGGGACATATCCAAGTACGCTGCAGGAAGTTGAGAAGGGATATGGCTGCTTTCAAAAGGGCGAATGATGAGAAGAAATCAGATGAAGAAAAGAGTGATACTGCTGCTGTCGTGTCTGATGATGATGATGTTGTTTTGACAACTTGTGTGGATGAGACTCAGACTTTGAAAAGTGATAAAGGTTGGGTTTTAGATTCAGCTGCTACAGTTCATGTTTGCAATGATAGGAGCTGCTTTGTGGAGTTGAATGAGAATGAAAAGTATGGGGATATTGTGGTTGCTAACGAAAAAAAAGTGTAGATTCAAGGCATTGGGAGTGTTCGCCTTAGATCTCACAATGGTGTTATTAGGACACTTCGTCATGTAAGGTATGTACCAAATTGTCACTACAATTTGATTGCTTTGGGTGAGTTAGCTTCTCGGGGGTACACATTTTATGGTAGTAATGATTGGTTGAAAGTGTATAAGAATGATAGTGTGATTCTACAAGTGAATAAGGTCAATCACTTGTACATGTTTGATGGAGGCTTAGTTGCTGGAATACTTGTGATGAAAGAAAAGAAGAAAGGTAAGCATGTTAGCTTTGCAGATACTGTTGAAGTGTTTGGAGATTCAAGTCAAGGGAGGATTTGTTGGGATTTGCCTTGAATCTCAGAATCCCATATCAAAAGTTAAGTGAGTTTGAGTTTGTCTTGTATCCCACATCGGAAGTTTAGTAAAAGTATAAAGGGTTTCACCCTTTATAAATAAGATGTTTTGGTTTTAGTTTAGTAACCCCAGAGAGTTAGACACCAAGAGAATAGCTAAGTGAGTAGGCTATTAAAAGGGTGTAATTGGGTTTTGGGTTAAGTTTTGAGTAAGGAGTTTTATGAGACTTTTCTCATTCTAAAAGTCTCACAATTGTAAAGATTTATTTGATAGTGGATTAGGTTTGGAGTAGGCCATTTTGAGTTGGGCCGAACCAAATATATTTGTGTGTTCTTATTCTTGATTTGAGCTTGTTATTTTGTATGTGTGGTTGCTGCGCGTGGGTATTGTGGTATTTCCTAACAGTTTCAACTCGATCAAAGAAGGATTTATTTTGCCTCCTAGTTTTGACCGAATGTAAACATCCCATTCAACATCCCATTCAGCATGCGGTGCATGCACATCAGGTCTACTTGAAAGAAGCCCCAAATGCAGCTCTTTGACATGGCCAGTCAAGTTATTGCAGAAAACACCAAGCCATTCACAGCAATCCTCACCTTCAACCCAAGAAGATAGCCGGTTTGATTGATCAATAAGGTCTTGCTTGAACTTCAAAAGGGCTTGTCTCTCACTTTCAATGCAAAGCACATTGCAATTCCCATCGCAAAAGCTAATAATGGTGACTGCGATGACAAGAAGAAATCCAAATGAGGAAATTGTAACCGCTCTCATGGTTGCATACCGATCATTGCTACCAACACCTAATATATAAAGTTAAAGAAAAATATCTTCCATCACATCAAGTCAAGTCAAGCAAGTCTATGGAGTTTGAATTTTCCACAAAAACCAATTTCCAGCTTGAATTTTCCACGGAAAGCATTTATGGTCCGTTTAAATTCTACTATTGTAGACAGAAGAACAAAAAAAACTAGACAAATAAATCAACTCTATGGAGTTAGAATTTTCCACAAAAACCAATTTCCAACTTGACTTTTCCACGGGAAGCATTTATGGTCCATTTAAATTGCATATATGGTCCATTTAAATTCTACAATTGTAGAAAGAACAAAAAAGACTTAACAAGTAAGTCAAGTCAACCAAGTCTATGGAGAATTTTCCACAAAAACCAACTTGAATTTTCCACGGAAAGCATTTACGGTCCATTTAAATTCTACAATTGTAGAAAGAAGAACAAAAAAAGACTTGACAAGTAAGTCAAGTTCACGGTCAAACAATTAACTCTTTATGTCTTAGAAAACAGAAAAAATGAAAAAAAATGAAAATTTAGAAAAAAATAAAATTACAAAAAATTTAGAGAAGCTAAGACTCTTTTTCCCTATCATTTTTATGCTATAGTTACTTTCTTTTTTTTCTTTTAAATCAAGTTTTAATATATGTATGGCGCCTAAAATTAAGAAATTTGTCAAAAAAAGAATATTAATTGAAATATAAAAGTGGTTTTATATAAAAATCTATGAAAGTAAAACGTTTAATTTTGCAAATTACAATTTCAGTTTTATCTTTCATAGTTAACACAATTATTTTTTTATCCATTAACCTTTAATACAATTTTAATTACCAAATATTAGTATGATTTTCACAATTCATAATTATAGGTGTTAAAATTTGAATTTTAAATTTATTGAATGTTATATTTTAAAAATAATTGTACAAATCAATTAAATTGAATTTTAAATTTTTAAAACAAGATTTCAATGCGTGATTTGATTGTACTTAGTATGATCATATAGTATCACCAAACCCTTTTTTTTATATCCAACTAGCAATGGAACTAACCCCTCATAGAAGCCATGGGAAAAAAATTCTTTTAAATTATAAAGAGAGAATTTACAAATTTTAATAACGTGTTGTATTTTGATTGATTGAATCTACATTTGATGTAATAAAAGATGTAATAATTTTTTTACATAATTGAACGATATTAATTTAAGTAATTATAATTTTATTATTTCGTATTAAATGATATATGAACTCGAGTTGTATAATTTAAATGATATATATTTAAATATAAAAGTGTTAGGCTAGTTTTGTTTTGCCTTATACCACCAAGCAAATGGGGTATTAGAATTTTGACAGGCCTAAACAACCCTGCTGCTGCTAATAAACAAAATAAAGCCTTCCCCTTCTCCCTCCTTCCTACAAATATCTTCTACATCTATTTTTCCTCGCCATGCTCTCATCAACCTCTCTTAAACCCATCGCCAATTGCCAAAATCCTTTATTTTCTTCATTTTTGAACCAACACCATCTCTTTTTTCCCTTCACCTCCCTTTCCCACATTCTAAAACACATCTCAGCGATTCTAATCCCCAGCAACCCCCCAAACCTCTACAGCAACAACTTTACTAACCTTTTCGGCCACCCCCATCTCCATTGCCTGCCCGATTCCGTTCGCTTGACCCATGAATAAGAGTCCTCGACTATGTTCTGTTAATTGTGATCAAGTATAATTCAAGTATCACGCGATGGAAATAAAATTGTGATCCAAGTATAATATAAATGAAATTGATCAGTTCCTCTCCTAACCAAAAATGTATAATCTGATAAAACATGACACTGAAGCAATTTTTCCTTCAGGAGTGCCTCAAATTTCTATTGTAACGTACATTAGCAGTGACTAACAAAGTGGACAGAGTCCAAATTGCCATGTAGAAACATAAAAAAAAAAATACAGTACTTCATCATTCCCAGGTTCTCCATCAATTTCTTTTGGCTGACCACAGTCATCGATCACAACTGGTTGCAAAGTCCTCCCACTGTCTGAGCCAGCTTTTTCCATCTCCTTGACAACGCTTATCCATCCACTACTTTACCAAACACAACTTGCTTTCCATCAAGCCATGGAGTCTTCTCCGTGCGTATAAAGAATTGGGAGCCATTGGTGTTTGGTCCTGCATTGGCCATTGACAAACAACCAGGTCCAGTATGTGTAAGCTTGAAATTCTCATCTGCAAATTTCATGCCATAGATTGCTTCTCCTCCAGGGCCATTCCCCTTTGTGAAATCTCCACCTTGACACCTGAAGCTCGGGATGGTTCGGTGAAATGCTGAGCCTTTACAGTGCAATGGCTTCCCAGACATTCCGTAACCCTTTTCCCCAGTGCAGAGTGTTTGTAATTATATCGTGGGCTAACACAGTCAGTCAATTAATCCGGATTTAGGTCAATTAATGTCAAATTACAAATAATTATAGTGGTATCATATTGTAATATATTCAAACATATAGTACGATATTAATTAAGTATGATCCCAATTTAATTTTGTATTTGAATCATAATGTGATGGATCAATTTTGACTAATATATATATATATATATATATGAAGCCGGTCCATTAGATTCTCTAACTTTAATTTGATAGGTAAATAGCAGTTCTCACTTTTTTTATTATGCAAGTCGTTGATTGAGCTCGATAGGCAGCATAAAAAAGCTCATGATGGTAAAAACACATCCATGGGCTTGGATTTAGGGGGATTGAGTTCTCTTCCACATTAAAAACAGTGTTAGTTATAAATTACGATAGTGATTCGGTGAGTTTTCAGCCACATTCAATTAGAGCTTCATCTGATTCAAAATTGGGTCCAAATTGCCTTGGCAATGGCACATATTGCTCAAGGAAAAGCTGGTTAATATTCTACTTTCACGAAAAAGGATGTGGTGAGATATGGACAGAAATCTTATAAATTCGAAAAAAATATTTTCTTTTATACCAAGAAAAAAAGAAATGAGAATACAATTTGGCGCAACGACCTTTATTTTCAAGTGTTCTTTTAAGCAAAAAGGAAAATAAAACTACTACTAATATATGATTAACATAGATGATAACTCTTTATGAATTCAAAATAACTAGAAATTGTTATCATATATATATGTATATATAGAAGAATGAAAATTTGTAGAAATGTTCAACTAGTATGTAATATTATTGTTGGCTAAAATTATGCATAGCACTAAACTTTGATTGTACATCATCTCAAAGATTTACAAATTCACAGACGATATCCAACAAAAAATTTGGTCCTCCTCCACTATCTCAATTGAAAAGGGAGAAGAAACAAAAAAGAGAAGAAAAAATGTTGGTGTTTGAACTCAATTATTCACCAATAAGGAGTTGCACTCTCAGATATACTTAGAAGCTTCTCCAAATAATCAGCTCCTAAATCCTCAAACACCAGGATATTTTCCCTCCCCATTTCCTTCTTTCTTGATCTTCGTGTTCCCTGATCTTTTGCTCTTCATGGAGTACCTTTTCTAAATTGTCAAAGTAGGTGAACAACTTTCTTCAAGTCCATAGTTCATTTCTTGAAGTGAATCATAAACTGTATCCATTGGAAAACCGAGTATCACCATCGGACCTCGCATTGCGAGTGTAGCTTGATCATACACTAGCTGTAGCCTCAGCTATATCCAAGGTTCCAGGCCAAAGCCCAACACCATTCCTTATGGAATCCCTTATCTCAGCTGCCTATTTTCCCCATGGCCTCTCCCTGACTCCTCTATACTAAACCTCCTTTCCTGTCTCATCTCCATTTGCATTCAAGTTCACTTAATGATCCTTTCTAAAACTATTAACAGATGTGGTATCAAAAGTGTTTTCCTATGCTTGATTTAGGACTCCCAAAGGAACATTACACGGGAGTCATTTCCATTGAAAGGGTTTGGTTATGGAGATAATTGAATGATTCTAGTGAGAAATTTTTTGAGAAATATAGGAAGAAGAGGATTCAAGAGACAATTGGAGATTTGGGTATCGAAAAAATGAAGAGTCCATGTATGAAAATCAAGTCATTCTTATTATGGAAACGATTCTTCTTCGATCTTATAATTAATTCTCTTTGATTTTGCTTTTTGGTTTTGGTCATAGGAAATGAAATTTGAAGCTCAGTGTTATATATACAGTAATTACAAGCAAGGGAGGGAAAGGCTATATTATTCAAATATTTATTTTAAAAACGTTAAAAAAAAAGAAAGAAAGAAAGAACAAATTAAAGAAACGATGGAAAGAGAGTAAAATTATATGAACAAGTTATTAGCGTCGAACATCATTATTTAGTCGTTAATAGTAGAATCAACAGCTGAGTCAAAAGGAATACTTGTCGGGGCATTGTGGCCAGATCAAGTTAAAATTCCCTTACATCACCCATGATGTTTCACTTTTATGTCCTGCCTATAACTTATATTTTTAGCTAATTAAAATAGTAAATCACTATGCTTAGAATGATCAATTACAATGTTAATTACCTTTTATTGATGAACAAGATTTGATTAATATAATCAGGTTATAGTTGAGTTTGTCGTAATTTTATTTTTATACAAAATAAATTAAATTTGAGAATTAAAAAAAGAATTACAAGTGCATAAATTTAAATTTTAATCCGATTAGAAGTACTTTTTAAAATATTTGTATAAATCACTTAGATTAGACTTTGAATTTATAAAAAGATTACTTTATATATATATATATATATGCTTTTCATTTAAATTATATAATATAATCATATTATTGACAAGGGTTAATTTTAATTTTTCACGTACCACTAATAAGTGAATGCTGTTTAAATAAAAATTTACCTATCTAATAATAACGTATAATATAAAATAAATAATCAACATTTTTTAAAAATATTATTTTATGGTGTGATTTTAATAAAATAAAAAAGATCTATTTTTACATTGAATAATTATTTCATATAATCCTTCTTTTATTAATTATGTCAAAATTTATCATAAATAAGTTTCTTAAACTCGCATAATTGATGTTACACTAACTTTTTGAATTGATAATAAGATGTAAAAAGTCAGTGGTCACTTTCTAGGTGCCATTATAGGTTAGTTTTACCTCTTCCCTCAAGTGCTACCTTTTTTTCTTTTTTTTTTCTTCAAATTCACACCCTACATAAGCATAACCTTCCAGCCTTAATTGGATGATTTGCCACTCTTTAATTAGTCTCTAATATTTTATTGGCCAAAAATTTGATTGTTCATATATACATTGGTCATTATTTTATATATTTTTATCCATTACTAGAATTTGATCCCACTATTTATAATTATTTTTAATAAAAATAAAATAAAAATTTAACTTATGTAAATCTATCAAAATTAAAAAATATTTAATTAAAATGTCATTAAATTAACGGCGTGTCAAAGATACAAATGCAGTTAATATAACGACATTTTTTAGATATAAAATTTTTCAGATACAAATACCGTTAATGTAACAGTATTTTATAAAAAACGTCGTTATTTTTCGC